GAGATGCGGAAGTGCTGTGCGTTAAGACAACTTGGGCACTGCGCGCCCGGAGAAGAAGAGGGCGCTCGCAAGTGACACAATAGCTAGGGTAAGGGTAAAGCAGGAGGACGGCGGCCATAGCCGCCAAGAGATGTAAGCTTACCTGAGTGGGTGTATCCAGGGTGACGATCTAGGTTAGAGAGAGAGAGAGAGTGAGGCAGAGTGAGCCAAGTCAGGAGAGAAGCAAGACGGGGGGAGAGAGAGAGAGAGAGAGAGAGAGAGAGAGGGGGGGGGGGGGGAGAAGCCATAGCTGCCACCTGATTGAGATCCGTTGTGTGTGTGTGTGTGTGTGGCAGAGCCGCTGGAGACAAACATTCTTGTATATTGATCATAAAATTGGAAACGACATCTTCATGTGTTGATCGTATCTCGAGTTGGCTTCTCACGTGTGAACTCTCATGTGCATGTTCATTGATGTCTGCGAGGTTGAACTTGACGAGTACTTGGCTCATTTCATGTAAGACGGTTCTAAGACCAAAATTTGTAATTGCACATTCAGCCACAGTAGTCCTTCTAAATCGCCTCAAGCTCTCAGCTTATCTTATCCAGAGGATGTGCCCCACACATACAGTGTTTGCTCTCTCCCTACATTGCACCCCAATCATGCCCAGGAGATGTAATATATCATTGTCAATTACCAGGGGTGCCAGCCGCAATTTGTACGCCATACGCGGCACACACCTCTCTCTGCAAGGGCCTGCATATCACTGCAGATAGCCTCCATTTATTTATTATATAGCTCATGCACAGTAAAAAGAATGCCTCTGAGCCTCTGAGGGACAGGCTCCCTGCACATTGATAAAAAGGTGACCCTTCTCATCTTCCAGTCATGGCGAGCCAGGTACGACCCCCCCACAAAGAGAAACGAGGAAGGCCTACGAAAAATGAAATGAAGTGGAAAGGAGTAGTTGCAGACCACGAACGAGCCCAGCAATACAATGGTACACCCATGAACTGTTGAAATACAGACCCAAGTTCAAGTCCACATACATTCAGATGAACAGAATAAAACGTATTCCGAATTACATGAGACTGGTCAGTTCAATGATTATCTCAAGGCCACAATGATTATCTCAACGCCACCGCCCCATTCCTGAAAAAAGAAAAAAAGAATGAAAGATAGGAAAAAGAAGAAGTTGCGGACCGTAATTCAGCCATGTAGTCGGAAGGTTTTTTACTGGAGTCATGATGGTCATACTCACTAGGAAGACTTTCTCGACCGAATCTAGCCATATTCGTGGATGAGATACAGGCATGAAATTGCTGGTGTGATTATGCCCGAAGGTGGCAAAGTGGTAATCAATACCAGCTGATGTGGTACATACAACTTCTTAAAGTAATGAAGTCACCAAACACCCACCCATTCCTCCTGTTTTCATACTTTTTTTAGTTTCATCACCCTAAGATAAGAGCCTCTTTTTTTTTCGGGGGGGGGGGGGGGGGGGGGGGGGGGGAAGAAAAGAACCTATACCTTCCTGATGGCTGAATGATACACATGCACCTATTGACAGGCCAGATCGAGACATAAATTCTCTTTAATACAAAAAGCCGAGGAGGCGGCCTCACTGGGCCAAAACTGCCCTAGACTAGCAATGAGTGAATTTGCTCTGCAAAAGGATGTAGTTCACCTTGCCTAGCACAAACATGGCCCTGTGGGCCTGTACATATTTGGCCTCCTCTAGTACACGCCCGAGACCTGCAATTCAACTTATCGCATCACTGTCACAACCGTTTTCTGATCACGGAGCTGTCTGGATTACCCAATTCGACTCTGATTCCACCTGTGAGAGGGAAAGAGAGGGTGCGGGGGGCGAGGGGGAAAGAGAGGTTGCGGGAAGGAGGGGGGAGGGGGGGGGGGATTCACACAACAGATAAAAATGATAACTTTGAAGTCACTGAGCATACCGTCTTCACCCGAATAGATCGCCCGGTCATTATAGCTGTATCTGGACTGAAAATTGCACCAGATATGGCTATAATGACCGGGCGTTCTATTCGAGTGAAGACGGTAGCAACATTAGGTACCAGACTTTGCGTCTGCTTATACCCAGCTTGCAGCTCAGCCTAGCAAATGCCAGGTCAGAGATTCTCTGTCTGCCAGAGAGAGAGTAGTGCCTGTTACTGCAACAGTGTAGCACAGTTAGGAGACGTCATCACACAATGTTTGCACAATTGAGAGGGAAAAAAACAATCCTTTGTTCACTGACATTTGCAATAAGGCAATGGATGAGTACGCTTCAAACTCTATCGATAAGCGCAAATAAGAACATATTCTGTTGATGTCTGCTGCCCAGGAATACCAAATCAATTGTAATAAATGCAGGCAGGAGGAGGGTAAAAAAGGAGTAAAAAGCCTTAAGGCAATGGTTCAACTTCTCTCATGATTATCTGTCTGCCAGAGAGAGAGAGAGAGAATGTGTGTGTGTGTGTGTGTGTGTGTGTGTGTGTGTGTTTGGGGGGGTGAGGGGGGGGGAGGAACTGCTCTCTCACCTTGAAGAGAACGTATTGAACAAGGCGTTCAGCCAATTTATGTAATTCTTGAGCTGTCAAATTTCCAAAGAAGACAACCTGCACTCGAGTGCGCACATTCATAACAGGAAATAAACACACAGACAGCAGGCAAGTTTAACCAAATAGAAACGGTTAAGGACGAAACGTCACAAAAGCACAATGAAAAGTAACACACTTAGATCTGAAAGAATGCGGAGCGGAGGACTTCAGAGTCGAACTTTTGGGCCTGTGGAATCAGTGTAGACAATATTGATTGGTGCTTTGCGTGATAAACTCAAAAGCAAACTTGAAATGAGCAATCAGGGGTGACATAGGCTCAGGTGCAGCTTCCCACCAATAGAAAGGAGCCATCAACAATGGCAAGACCATAACTATGGGGATGCTCCTACCATCCTCAGAATTGTGGCTAGTGAATGATGTTCTTCAAAGTTCAGACTTCGTATTCTTCTTTTTTTAGGTTCATGATTCATTTTAGTTATGAACAAACTCTCCATCTCCAGACACTGTACGTGCCCGACCTCAACATTTCGCGAGGATGCGATAGACAGAAACAGCAAACTTTTGCGGGGACAATCAACAGCTAACATGTGTGTGCGAAAAAGAACAGGGCAAAATGGACCTCGCTCAACTACTCGACACTCTACATGCATTTGGACGCCTTTCTTGATAAAGTGAGTTTGGAGGAGTCCAATATTCGGAATGAATAGGGACAGGTTCAAGGTCCCTATTCATCTACAGTGTCGTGTAGTGGAGCGAGGTCCAATATTTTGTTCAGTGATACAGTCCCCAGAAACCTTTGATTTCTACTGACAACAATGCTCAGAACAGGAAACAATATTTTGGCTTCTATCTTATCTGTGACTATCTCAACAATATACTTTCTTTTTCTTTTTTCTTTTTTTCTTTTTTTAAATAATCAGAACAGATACTAGCCTTGAACCTGTCTCTTATACACATCTAGATGTGTATAAGAGACAGATGCGGAAGTGCTGCTGCGCTCTTGCTTGATGCTGCGCTGCTGCCAAGGGCGCTGACAGGGCATGAGAGGTGTTGTGGGGCGCTGCAGGGCAGCGGGGCGCGGGCGGCCATAGCCGGGCTGCTGGGCGCCAGGGGGTACAGCGGATGATCAGGTGGTCTTCAGGGAAGGAGGCACTGTGTGGGGTAATCAAGGTCTGATTGAGGGTGACGAGATATGTACCTGGTACATGAAGAGAGGTCGGCGATGGTGTTGGCAGTCGTGTACATTGGTCTTCGAGAGTCGAAGTGATCCTGTTGCGTGAACCGGCTGTAGGTAGGCTAGTCAGGTAGAGTAGGCTGGGCGCTGAGCGCCAGACAGGAGAGAGCGACTTTGGATACTGTGTTGGTGTAGCCTACGGGCTTGGACATTGGCTCATTACTTCATTGTATTGCTCTATATGGATGGTTTTCCCGGTGCATTTGTACTCTCTGCTTGGGACACGACTACTTGGTCAGCTGTGTGATTTCGCAACTTGGTTTTATGTATATCGCTCACATTCATATTCCTTGCATTTTTCTTTTTTTTCTTTTTTCCCTTTTTTTTTTTTTTTTTTTTTTTTTTTTTTTTTTTTTCCTGTAAAGGGCGACGGCCTTGAGATATCATTGAATTGACCGGCCCTAAGTAAAATTCAAAATTGTAGTATTTTTTACTCATCTGCTGTCAGCAGAACTTGAACTCAGGTCTGTATTTCAATTTTCAACAGCTCAGGGGTGTACCGACTGAGCGAGGCCAGTTGGTCTCTCTCTCGACAATATTTTGCTGCGCAGAACAAGAAACCGTATCTTGTTTCTATCTTATCAGGCACTGGGCCTCGCTCCACTACTCACCGAATATGCAAAACGAGAATGAATCTTCCACTAGAACATGGGCAGATCCACAGCCTTTTTTTTTTTTTGCCTTTTCTGCATGTGTAGTGCATAGTGGAGCGAGGCCCACTTTCTCAACAATATTTTGCTGCTCAGATCAGGAAGCAATATTTTGTTTCCATCTTATCAGGGACTTTTCTCCAGGGGTGAGTTCCCATTAGCAATGAGCGTCGGATTGAATGCCTGCATCTGGACGTGTTTGAGGACAGGAGCAGGAAATCGAGATCAAACTGCTTTTCTGTATCTCTGCATAAAACATGGCCAGATTCAGGATTTCTATCCTATCCCCTTTGCTGGTGGGACCTCACCCCAGGGGCGAGTTCCCATCAGCAAAGAGGATTGGATTAAGCACCTGGATCTGGATGTGTTTTATGCAGAGAAGTAGGAAAGCAGAGGTCGATCTCTCTTTTCTGTACCTTTCCACAAAGACGCCCATATTCAGGCATTCAATCCAATCCTCTTTGCTAGCAGAAAATCTCGCCCCAGATATTTTGTTTCAATCTTATCAGGGATTATCTCCAGAAACATCTGATGTCTTCCACAACATCTTATCAGGGTTCATTCAA